GCAATAACAAATAATAATAAAATTATGATTCCTTCTCACATGCTGATGTCTCCAATGTGCATGAACATTAAGAACAGAACTCCGCCTTCCATTCCACGTGTGATAATGTATTTTTCTCCATGTTCAAACAAGTTTCGACAATTAACATTGTCAGCACTATGATACATTCATGTTTTTTTCTGAATGTACTAAGCTTTTGTTGCATGATATGAAAATGTACTATAGAATTCTCAAAATATTTCGATAAATTCGGTGTCAAATTTAGACATGTTATTGTTAATGGTTATCAGTGTTGAGTTGTTAAACGATAAAATATAAATTTATAGAAGGAACGAAGAGGAAATCAAAATGATAAGTGCATATGCAATCATATTGAAATGGATAGTAAAGAGATGGCAATAAACGCTACGTAGAGGTGGTATATCGATTGAGGTTAAATAAAAGGAAAGATGAGTTACATATTTTGTATGGACTTAGAGAGACTTCATTAGATACAAGTCATAAGAGGGATGGATAACTAAAATTGACATGACCAACTTTTTTTCTTTTTAAATTCAAACCCCATTATGTAGGTTTTTAACTAATAAACAAAGAAAAGAGAGAGTTATAGCTAGAAGGGGGCATAAACCAAATCTCTAGCAAAAAAGGAGTAAATAATCTCATTCAAAGACGGGACATATAAAGAAACATGACGGTAAATCAAATAAATACATGATTATGTATCCTTGATCTAGTCGTCATAGATCGGGTATTTGGACATCTTGTGAGATAGATGTCTTGATCATAATAATCGACATACTAGGGATCACGAGTAGATGAGGAGGAGTCGCCTTTGGGAGAAGGAGCCCCACCAAATGAAAAATGAAAACGCGGGGTATCGTGTTGCATTCAGCTGAATTAGTAAGCACATTTGTACGCAAGCTTGTTTTGTCAACTTCAACAATGACGGTATAATTACCCAAATTCGTACCGTCGTCTAACACGACCTTTTAATTGCTAAAGATCTTGTCTTTTAATAGATTTAACAAATTTATAAATTGTCAGAAGGAGGACTTAGTGAATTGAACCCAAATTAATTTGTATACTACTTTTAAACTTGTATAATGTTGTTATGCATCACTTGTTGCAACATATCGCCGCCCACACCCATGACGAATCTTGAATTTGTTATGTTGTTTAGAAAAATTGCATCAATTTCCAAGGAATAAGAAGATTATAATTTATAAATGTAGCATATGCTATAACTGTTTCCTTGTCTGCCCAAAATACAGCTCAGTCTGCCACCTCATTGTATTTTGGATTTAAAAAAAAAAAAAAAACTCGAATTTGAATCCATAAATCATTTTTGCTCTTCACCAACCCTACTTGCTCCTCACCAAAAAAATCTAGGCTAGGTACGTAAAGCTGGCAATATATTTACATTCTGGATAGTTTTTAATAAATGAGACTAGAGAACGTTCTATGTGTAACACCTAATATTGTTGTGTGTCAATATTAATCATGTATAATATGAACGAATTAGTCAAAGCCTGGAATTAAACATTTGCTCATATTTTCAATTATTAAGGACCAGCAAGCACTACATGTTTGGCACCTATTTATAACTTATTAATAATTGGTCAAATAACTTTTCATTTATACTGGAACACAAGGGCGAATCCAACATTGTAGTTCAACTAGAGCGGAGACCGTTGACCGATTACCGTTGACAATCAACGATCGTAATAGCCGAAAATATAATTCAATACATATGTAAATGCACTAAAACGTAAAAAGTATATACATATAAAAATATAATTCAATACAACTCAAAATAAAATAAAATAATAATAATAATAGAACCCTACTCTATAGCTGTAAACTTAGACAACTACATTTTACAGGGTCTCATATTTTGAAAACGTAACAATATTTACTCATTCTCAAGTTTTATAAAAATATATTTTTCCACATAAACCGTCAAATTGTCATTCAACCAGTTATCTCCCATTTTGTTACGTAAGTCACTCTTGATTAGATTCATAGCAGAAAATACCCTTTTAACACTTGCAGTTGCCACGGTAATATCAAAACCAAGGTGATCAGCCTATAAACNAAATTGTCATTCAACCAGCTATTTCACATTTTGTTGTACAAGTCACTCTTGATTAGATTCATAGCATAGAATACCCTTTCAACACTAGCAGTTACCACAGGTAATATTAAAACCAAGGTGATCAGCCTATAAACCAACGAAAAATAACAGTAACTTCCAATTTTAACCAACTTCTGAGCTACACAAGATATGCTATTGAGATTAAAGAAAGTTTCGTTCATTCTCACAAGCATAAAAAACTTGTCAAGTTGAGGTTTAAGTAATAAAAGATCTTCACTATTGAAGTCCAAAGGATAGAACTGAGCAAAACGTAGCAATTTAGCCTAATCAAAAGCTGCAAATGAATTTCTTGGACTTACACACGAAATGCAAGTATAGAGCTCAGTAGTTGTTCCTAAAAAACGATCATTCAACTCTTGCAAGATTGAGTCTATCACATGACAATACAAATCAACATAAAAGCGATGATAATAAGTCACATGCTGAGC